AAAGGTGATACAGAAATCATTGAAGAATATTATTAAATAAAACTTGATAAACAATGAATGATTTATATTAAAATCAAACAGATAGAAAGGAAACTGGACGCCCAAAGGTGATACAGAAATCATTGAAGAATATTATTAAATAAAACTTGATAAACAATGAATGATTTATATTAAAATCAATAGAATAAAAAGATCTCAAATGTTCGACAAACCAAAATAGAATCAGTAACATGTTAACCGCGAAAATAAAAAACTGCATCAGAGCATTAAAAGAAATTTTGGTTAGCTCCGATCTCCAAAATTAGTAGTTATGACATTTATGAGAAAACCGTGATTCATACCACATTCCTGGTATAATAAAATCATTTAATGTAAAGTCAATTAAATTCAAATTTCACTAAAATTTTAGGATAGGTTGAATTTACACTGCGAACAACTTTTCTTAGTACAAAGAATGATTTACTTAGTCAAATTTCACCGAATGGTCAACCATAATCGATTAATATATGGGGCCTTTGCCTTGAAAATGACCTTACAGGACTTTGTAGATTTTATGAATAAAACTAAAACTTCTAGCCATCCAATTGAACCACCATTCTTTAACGAAAGAATACAGTAACAAACTTGAATTTTGTTTTAATTTATTTTTATTAAATGTAAGAAAAAAATTAATTGTTGCATTGTTAATATAGCATTTCAATTTAAGTAATTATTGTAATAATTTGGCTCTTTGTCACATGATATAACGGACCCATAGGTCATATGATTATAACTCCAACCAAGAAAATCATTAAATTTTACAATGTTAATAATGTTAATTCAATCATTAAAATAATATTAGTATTATTGTCAAATTATTTATAGAAAAATTGATTTATCAAATCGTTGTTTGTATTTGAAGTAAAATTATAACCAAAGAATTAATTGATAAGTATTCTCTATTACGATGAAATAATCCATTTTGTAGATATACTTTCTGCAGTTTCCAAAAAAAAAAAAGAATTTGATTATTCATAAATTTTATAAATTTTTAAATGCGACAATATATCTATAAGAATATATACTATTTGTCTAAGATAATAATTTGGAATTTTGGATTTAATCGTATCATATGATTGGTGTTTAAAACTTTGTGTCATGTAATCCGTAACTTTATTTAATAAAATTGTTAAAATTAATCCAAAATGCAGAAGCATTTTATTTTCGTGCAAACAAAATGATTAATTCTGAAGAAAATTCTTTATAATCAATTAAATAAACATTGCAATCAATATTTGAGCGGTTCTTTTATTATTCGTCAAAAATAAAAAATAAAATGAAAAATAAAAAAAGCGAAAAATAAAAAAACCAAAACCAACCGTTAATCAAGAAGCAAATGCTGTGAATTATCGAAAATATTTTGGCGAAGCATCAACTTAGGCAGCCTCTGTTGCTCCGTTTACTGACTTCACCAATTATAATATGTTATTCCAACAACAATATCCCGCCTCTCCATTTTTATGAATCCATTAGTTGTAAATAAAACATATTTATTTAGAAATATAATAATTTAATAATAATTTTTGTTTGTTTTTTTTTGCCAAAGATGTAGTTGAGCTTGTTGCCATATTGGTAAAAGCTAGTATCGGCTATTGTTTTTTGAGCCTCCTGGTTTTTTTATTGTTCATAAAAACGTTTAGTGCGATAAGTAAAATAATAATTCGTTGCTGAATGTGATGATCCATGGCAATGTTACTTGTGCGGTCTTTTTGAAAATTCAATTGATTGTAAAATTTTCAAGACAGGTATAAAAAAAAAAGGAGGTTTGTTGTAAAAAGTTTGTTGATTTAAATGACACTTTCATTTCAATCTTTTTTATTAATAAAAATGTCATATTTACGTAATAAGCTTTATCAATTAATGCATATTCATCTTAATGATAAACACGCTTGACTAATTTAAACTATTTTCCGCTAAATAAATTTTATTCCCCGACGCTTTTTGCCCATTGATTAAGGGACTTGAAAACACCCTAAGTGTTTTTTTTAAAAAAAATCCAAATAGTTATATTTACACAGTAACAATATCTTATTTGATAAAAATCGACGCGCCTACACCCTTGATCTTTTAACTATGCTATTGAATTAAGTCTTGAAGAATTGATTAAAGCCGTACAGGAACGATTGATTAATAATTGCATCTTGATGTGTAAAAATTTACATGTAAAGTTCATAAAATAAGTTATTTTTTAAAATAAAAATTTTAAGATTTGCAACAATTTTGTCATGTCTCATTTCAAGCTTTTTTTTTTTTGATTCTGAAGAATATAAGGATCTTTAGAAAATACAGTACATTGGTTTCTCTTTTAAAACTTGACAACTTAAATGAAGGAAAATTTTGGATCAGGTTGTATTATAACTTCAAAACATACTCTCAAAAATTGCACGCCATACTGTATATCAGATATTTTCAAATTACTAATGAAGATATTGTATTGTAGACGTATCAGCAAATTTTGAAACTAAGTCCGTGTAGAGATATTTTGATAAAATTGGCCGCTTAAATTAGACTATTACATCAACTATTTACTCCTCGTATAGTACGAGGAATAATACAGTTGATAGCAGATAGATAGAAAGAAAACGCGTAAATGTTTTTTTTTTTTTAACCAAGGCAGATTACTTGAAGCATCAAAATTTTACAAAAAAATTCATGCGAAAACTCAGCATAAATACTTAAACCTGAAATATTTTTAATGAGTCTTATTGATTGCAGAATTGAAGAAAAAGACATGAAAGTATTAGCAGATATTCCTTGCAAAAATACCACGTTAACTTCTTTAAATCTTAAAGACAGTGAGATTAAACCAATGATTTATTGAAATATGAAAAAATAAGTTTGTATTTGAAAAACTAGTAAATGCACTATACGATACCACACTGATCTCATCGAATCTTAACAGTACTTGTCTCAATTTTTGTGGGAAAGGCATTAATTAGCAAACGACTTTACAATAACACAACCTTGATTTATGATTTGAAAATTTGCTGATTTACTTTGCAAGAACACATTAAATTATTTAAATCTTGTAAATAATATTGACGATAATGATTACGAAGGATAGCGACGAAGATGGTAATAATTTTAGATCAAATGAGGGAGTAAAAACACCACGTTCGCTTCCTTAGATTTAATAAGAATGAGCTCTGATCAGGTAGAGGGAAAGCATTAGTTGATGCATTCTGTAAGCCACTACGTTTACTTCTTTAGATATTAGTAAAATAAACTCGAATCAGATGAAGGAAGCATAGCTGATGCACTTTGCAATTACACCATTTTGACTTCTTTGAATCTTGGAAGCAATCATTTTAGAGTTGTTGACGACGTACTCTGCAAGGACACCAATTGACCTATTTAAATCTTTCAAACATTTTATATGATGACGTTTCATATGACTATTATTATGAATATAATGAAGACAATGACAGAGTGTAATGATTTTTGATCAGAGGGAAGAAAGCACTAGCTGATGCACTTTGTAAAGATATTAGTTTCAAAAGGTTTGTTTATTTTTAAGTAGCTTATATATATATATAAATTTATTAGTTATTTATAGCATTATTTGTTTTAAAAATATTTGTATTTTAATATAACTTATAAATATAGATACCGTATAAGCGCGTAATAACGCGTTATTTCGGGACGCGCATGCGCGATAATTCGAACCATTATGCTAATTTTGAAAAAAAACTTTCAGCTACTAAGAACTTTTTGAAATATCATAATAGAACTTAGTTTTTTTGAGATAAAGAAACATAAGGCGAATAAATTCTAGATAAATTGTTAATAAATAGTTTTCAGATTTAGAGGTTGAACCTAAGTTTATTATATTCAAATTTATTCGAAGATTCAAAATAGCACGTGAAAGATAATCTGGTACATATGGGGCGCGTTATTTTGAGACGCGCATGGGCGTTATTTTAGATTAAATATGCCATTTTTTAAAAAAATTAAAATTTCGAAATAACGCCCATGTGCGTTATTACGCGCTTATACGGTATCTCTATTCTCCATATACAGAAAAATTTTATCTAAATGTTTATACGTCTATTTGTTTTTTTATAGCAAAAATAAGACGTTATTTGCATACTAAATATATTTAAGCATAATTTTACAGAATTTATTAATGATCATTATTAATTTTATTTTTTACAATAATATGTAAAAGTCAAGACGTCCCGTCCCGTCAAAACAGAACATGTAAAATAAAATTTTTCTTTGAGTTATTGGGAAAACTATACATAAACACAATTCAAGGCAAACACACTCATAATCAATGGATAACATTTATTTCATCCTCAATGATCGATCTAAACTCATTAACATCTATACACAGAATATTTATAATGACATTCTTTAACCCGTCGTTAATTAAGGAGGATCAATTATTAGTATGGGTTAGTGCAGATCTGTCAATCAGGCACTACTATACAAATAATTATAACGATAATACATTATATGAAAGAAAAAGTAACATGTAAGAAATGAAGAAATTAAGAAATTAAGGAAAACGACAATGGAAAGAAAGTAAAAATGTGTAAATGTAAGGGCGCAGTGAAGTTACGGAGGTAACATCATTTTGATTGCATAATGCAACTTTCGAAGCTCCAGCAACATCATCCATGTCAGCAACTTTTTGATAGTATTCGAAGGCTTTGTGGTCATCTTTCTTGACACCACTTCCATGGTAATAACATTCACCAACATTGTATACACCAACAGCATTCTTCATCTCTGCAGCTTTTTGATAATAAATGAATGCCTTGTGTTCATTCTTTTCAACACCAATTCCATTTCGATAACAATTTCCAACATTATTTGTTCCAAAAGCATGCCCCATCTCAGCAGATTTTTGATAATAAGTGAATGCCTTACGTTCATCCTTTTTAACACCAATTCCATTTTCATAACAATTACCAAGCGCGAATGTTCCATCAACGTCCCCCATCTCTGCAGATTTTTGATAATATATGAATGCCTTATGTTCGTCCTTTTCAACTCCAATTCCATGACGATAACAATATCCAACATTGTATGTTCCATTGACGCTCCCCATTTCTGCAGATTTTTTATAATAAATGAAAGCTTTACGTTCATCCTTTTCAACTCCAATTCCTTCGTCATAACAATATCCAACATTAAATGTTCCACTAGCGCTTCCCATATCCGCAGCTTTTTGATAATAAATAAAAGCCTTACGTTCATCTTTTTCAACACCAATTCCTTCTTCATAACAATAACCAACATTATATGTTCCACTAGCATCTCCCATATCAGCAGACTTTTTATAATAAATGAAAGCCTTATGTTCATCTTTTTCGACACCAATTCCTTCGTCATAACAATATCCAACGTTATATGTTCCACTATCGTCTCCCATCTCAGCAGATTTTTGGTAATAAATGAATGCCTTATGTTCATCCTTTCCAATACCAACACCATGACGATAACAATAT